ATCGATGGTTCTATGCAAATTGCGTTTGCTCTGCTCCATCTCTTCATCCTTCTCAGCTAGTTTGCGCTCAATATCAGCCTTTGTTTGGTTAAATTCTAGCTGAGCTCGCAGAATTTTACCCTCCTCGTGCTCCAGTGAGGCCTTTCAAAGAAGATTGTGATCTGTTACTTGGTTTGCAAGACAATTAACTTTTAACAATAGTATTTAATATAATAATCTAGATGTCAAGGAATAAAGCTGCATCTGGAAACTTACTTCTGCCTCTTCCAAAGCAGACTGAATCTCACTTTTTTCTTGCTCCAGCTGTTTTATAATTTTCTCCAGTTCATGAATGCTCTTTCCTCCCTCACCAAGTTGCTCAGTGAGATCAGAAATCTCCTCTAGATGAAAAGAATATTGCATTTTAACATATTGCCTTATTTTCTCCAGCCTTAGTGATAATGTCTCCACAGTGCTATCTATAAATTCTACTTCTTCCACCACCACACATCAAACAAACCATAAAGTCTTTTCAATATTTACATTTATTCATTACAATTATTTGTTTTAAGATTATTTGCAAAGTTACCTTGGAGATTTTTATTTTCTCTCTTCATGGTCTCCAGGTGATCCAAAGATTCTTCATAGGAATTCTTCAGCTTGAAAAGTTCAGTACTCAGACATCTGGCTTCCTTTTGAGAGCACTCTAGCTCAACCTGTGACTCTTCGTACTTCTGCTTCCACTCAGCCAGGACCTAAAATAATTTTTTTTTCTTCATGTAAATAGATTTTAGGATAACTGGTAATTAAACAATTTTTAAGATTAATCCCAAATCAAGAACCATGTTTGGTTACTTTATCAAAGTTTCTTTGTTTCTTGTCCAAGGCTGCTGCAGCTGCATTAGACCTCTCCAGGTCCACCATAAGATCTTCAATCTCATTTTGGAGTCTGTGTTTGGTCTTTTCAAGAGATGAACATTTCGCATTTACTGCTTCAACAGCTTCTTCAGCCTCCTGCAACCGTTGAGCCAGTTTCTTCCTGTTTTAGAAAACAGAACAATATTGAGGAAGATAATTTCGTTTGCACACCCTGAAAAAAATAGATAGACATTTAATTATATTTTTACCTTATATTTGGGGAAGCTTGGCCAACTAACAGAAAAACTTTTTGTTCGTCTTACATTTTAAAAGAAACATAACACAAACAAAAAGCTTATCTGTCAGTAGAGAAGTTAAACCTTAAAGAAGAGTCCAAATATATATGAAATTCTATATAGAAACATATCTTACTTGGCTTCCTCCAGTTCTTCCGTTCTCTGGATGGCATCAGTTTCATACTTTGTTCTCCACTGAGCCACCTCAGAATTAGCTTTGGACATGCCTCGCTGTAGCTCTGCTTTGGCCTCCTGCTCCTCCTCATACTGCTCTCTGAGCAGATCTGTGTCATGACGAGCTGACTGTACAGCATGGGCTAAGGCATTCTTCGCCTGGAGGAGGACACATTGTTATTTAGCAGAGCAACAAAAAAAA